ATAATAATAATAATAATAATAATAATAATAATAATAATAATAATAATAATAATAATAATAATAATAATAATGATAATAATAATAATATATAACTTTTTAAACAAAAAATTTTTACAATTTATATAATAAAAGAAAATATATTTTCTATATATAGTATATATATTTAAAGCAATAGTTATTGTTTATGTTGATTTTTTTTCCAAAAGATGATTTCCATCTAATAATATTTATCTCCTATATATATTACTTTAAATTTTTGACATTTAGAATGTAATCCTTGTATATAAGTAAATTATTATTACCTTCTTTGACTCAGAAATTCCCAAGACCTTTATTTTGAGCGGTTAATTAGAATTAAAAGAAACCACATTACTATCCAAATGTCATTTATTAATTAATTAAGCTTAAAGTATAATTTCAAATGTTTTCCCCGTTACTCATAATCTTGCCATAGATCAAACACTTTCTTTATCGTTGAGTGATTCTTGACACATATGTTCCATTGCTTCCTATATATATATATATTATTATTTTTACTATTTTATTATAATTAGCCGCTATTATATTTGAAAAAGATTGCTTAATCATTGCCGATTTTTTTCTGGTTTAGTCATACGCTGGAATGTCGTTATGTCTTTTTTTTATTTATTTTTTTATTTTTGATATATAAAATATTTCTCAATCAATAATTCCCCTCTCCAATGTTATAATATAACAATTTGACGACGACAGCCTGATGATATCTGATATCTGATATGAAGAAAAACAAAAAACCAACCAAGCACTTTCTTTACTTTCAGCCAAGTCACGTACAGATGCCATCTACACACATCTGTTTTAATTAAATTACCAATAGTTCGGAAAAGATAACGTGTAAGTGAATAAAGTGATAATGAAAAAATTAGAATTAATAAATTATTACTTGATATTATCCAAAGTCGTGATTTACCAATATTAATATACAGTTCTCTAATATTATATACTGGATATATAATATAATATCAAATATACACTTAAATCAGCGTTGTCAACTTTCACTCCATTCGTCCATCTTATCATCCATCCATTGATTGGTCACGTTTTCCTTTAATAGCTCCAAGTTCGATTACATTACTGCGTCATATATGACCTCTTTTTTAATATTAATATACAAGGATTGGACCCTGTTTGCATGGCTTGAAATCACTCATATAGATCAAGCCGGTTTTATTATTACCAACAAAATTTAAAAAATTCCGGGAGAATTTGGATTATCCGGCTTTTTGAAATAAAATTAGCTGTTGGTTACTGTTTTGATTGAACATCTATCTAAATTTCGAAACTATTATTTTTCTTTTATTATTATTATTCAATTTTATAATATACTATTTGTTATAATATTTTAATGAATTTTCTGAAAGGTTACGTCGTCTGTCACCTAAAATATTTTCGTAATGTTTCACATCCATCCCAGCAATTGTGGAAAGTGATGTTTAAATCTAAATTTCTTCCAAAAATTCATTATCACCATAATGAACGTTTTGATTCATCCCTCGGGTTTAAAATCCCTTGACACTATATATGAATAAATATTCAAAATGTTTTTTTGAGATGAAGATGCGCTAAATAAATTTTGAATTAAAGCATTTAATTAATAAATTTTTACGTGTAACACAATTATTACAATTAGCACAAGAACAGTAATCTATATAGAAAATTCAACCACGTTTCTACATCTGCAGCATTAACAAAAAGAGCGACAGCTGTCACCTCAATTCCAGTTATAACTTCAAATACAAAGTCTAAGGCAGTCACAGCAAATGCAACAAACACATCAGTTACAACCAGGTCAATCATAACCACAGAAACCGTAACAGAGACAGCAACAATTACAGCAGTTACAATAACAACGACAACCACAATCATCAAGGTTTAACAATGACGCTTTAATTTAAAAATTCTCCGGAAAAACCAAAATCACAAGATTTATTTTATTGTGATGATAGGGATAATAGTCATGATTCTTACAACATATTATATTTCTTGATATAATTGTAAAGAAAAAAATTTCGAAATCAAAACAATCAAATCCTAAAATTTTACCAAGTAATGTTTGTTATGAATAGTAATAACACCGGCAATTAAGGCTCTGAGCGAATCGATAAAATTCTCGAGTCACCTAATTTCTGGTTCGTTTCGTCCAAATTTGTTTCTAATCGATATATACTATCCAATACCATTACAGCGTCCAACAATCTTACTCTATAAATCCGACTACTGGTATATATTCAGTCCAAAGTGTTTTTGTTGATATTCCAATGTCCAAAGTCAAAAGTAACATAAGTATAATAAATAAATTAACCCAATGAATCATGAATTGATCGATATATACTATCTAATACATATAACAATAAATAAATTCGTCCAATGAAAGTTCTTTGTTCAACGAATCTTGTTTCAATTAAGCTTGCGTTGCAATGGATTTGCTTCACGTTGAATGAGATTTTAAATGCAATACTGAATACATACTAATACTAAATATACATACCAATGCAGAAAAATGAAATTTTCCGTGCTTAAAGTTACGGAAACGATACAGAATAGATTTTTGTACTGCTTACGGAAACCACATGGAAAGTATGCGAGAAAATATTCTAATTTATAATTCTCAAAATTATTCCGCATCGGTTCCATATTAATATGGTTTCCGTACCATTTTCATATTTTTAGGTACGAGAAGGTAGATTATTCCGTGTCAAAAATGCGTTTTCCTAATGCATTCCGTATCAAAAATACATTTTCCCATATGTAATCATATTTTTTATATATGTGTAGATTTGCTGAGACCATATTTGCATTATTCTAGTCATATTAACATGCACATTTTATTTTATCAATTTTAAAATTAAAAAATTAAAAATTAAAAATCTGAATCCGGATTCGAATCATACGTGATTCGGCTTGATTCAAAAATAATCGAAATTGAATCGCTTTAAAATTTGGCACGATTCAATTCTAATTCGTCCTGAGCCTTACTTACAAACAAATATACAAAAATATGATTATCCGTTCAAGCAACAAAATACTGATCCTATCAAAAACATAGCAGCTAGTAAATATTATTCAATAGCTAACGTGCAACAAAATACCGTCACGTAAAGCAAATCACAAAAATATGCATAATTAGCAGAGATTTAGCAAACAATTAGTGTACATCTGTATGCATAATATTGACAATTGTAAGCAAACAGCTGTTTGTAAATTATGCATATAATATATTATTATTTTTGTTTAAATTACACATAATGCAAAAAGTGTGATGTATATTATATACATTGTAATAAAATAATTTATTTTTTTTTCTTAATTATTAACGTTGAAAAAGTAAATAAAAATTAATTAATATATAATAATAATAATAAAACAATGTAATATAATGTTTTCTGTTTTGTTCCGTAACGAGATTGTTCGTCGTCAGATCAACCCTAGATCCCTTTTTTTGAAAAATAAAATAAAAATTAACTAATGTTAATATCATAATAATAACAATTACAATATTCTGTTTTGTCGCATGATAATAAAACAATAAAACAATAATGTTTCTGTTATAAATAATATTCTGTTTTGTAAAGTACCAAATTTCTTATTGGCTCGAACAGATTAATTAAACAGACATCTATCTTTTTGTTACACTGAAAAAAATTTTATTAGTATATACATAAAAAAATATAAAACTCAATCATTTTAAAAATAAGGTAGATTCACCTTGACATCATTGTCACTTGCACAACATCACCACTTACACAACCATCGTCACTGTGCCACCAGAATTACTGCGAAGATCGTCACGCAAATTTGAAAGAACAAATATTAAGATATATTAATATCGGAGCAGTGTTGGCAAATCTGTCCAAATACTCCTTGTCCGATTGTCCAATTTGTGTCCAATTTACTGTATTAGCAGTCGCAGGACATTGCGGATTTACAGGGGGTCAAGTGTCACTCATATATAAAATTAATGATCTTCGTGCATAATTT